TTTTTTTTATGCCAAAGACTGTTGAAGGGATGCAAAAAACAGGCAGGACTAAACACGACCATGTTCCCGGCCGTGTTTCTGCCCCTACTCGGGTATAAGTTTGATTTCTGAGATTTTAGAGAGGGAGGGCTGGGTTTTGGTTCCCAAACATCCAAGGGGCGAATCATAGAGAGAGAGCAACTTGGTATCATTCTTGAAGCTATTTTGGAGGAATCCTTCACCATTGGAGCTCGAGAATCAAGCTTGGAGATGGAGATTGAAGATCTGGATCAAATTTCTTCATTCTCTCTCTTCTCTATGGAGTAACTTCACTTCACTTAGATTTTGAGAAACCCTAGTTCCATGTGTTAGGATCTTTATTGTTTGAACCTTTGGATGCTATATTGTTTGATTATAATCAATCGATTCACTGCTTTGTACTGGAATTTGTTCTATGTAGAGGAGGTATGTGTGAATCGCCTTAGCAGTCTATCCCAGTGAAGGCTAGTCGCCTGCCAGGTATTCTGTCTAAAAGGCCTTGGTCAGCTTAAGAGAGTCCAATCTATTTTCAGATCTTCCGCAACTTAATCAACAGTAAAACAACCATAGGGAATTACAACTTGGACTTAACTTAAGAGCTATGGGGATTCATACCTGAGTGAGTTCCTAACCTGTAATTAGTAGTCTGACCTAGTTTAGCATGTAGAGTAGTTTAGTTAAACAAACCTCAATCTGATTTGCTAGATAATGAACTGAAGCTGAGTAATAGTAACTCTAAAGACCCGTGAATTCGATATTTATTACTTGTGCCACTATACTACAGTCCCTTTCATCAGTTACACTTGGCCATTGTTAGGAATTGTGTCGTAGCAAGTCAGTCGTGTTTTTTTAATTGAGTTGGCATTGATTTTATGTTTTATTATTGTAGTGATATTGATTCGTATGAACAGAGATGAGAATGAATTGAAAAGAATGCATAGAGATGGCCAGACATACAGGGACGGAGCCAGGATTTCGAGAACCGGGGGCCGAAAATAATTAAACAAAATGTATGTGGCTAAAGTGGATCAAACCCATGTGCTTTAATACATAAGTCAAGTTTAGCTACCATTAGACCACATGACTATTACACAACAAGATTTACAGAACAAGTCTACTTATAAAATTTGTACTAAATATCCTTAAAATTCTAGGGGCCGGGACCACGGGGACCAATCCCGGGAGGGGGGGGGCACCCTAGGTTACATGTAGCTCCGCCCATGCGGACATATCAGATGGTGCTATTGCGGACGGATCATCAGATGTTGTACTCTGATTCGAGGACTTTCCCTTTCTTCAATTCCATGGCTTATACGTCGGGTTCGTGTTTCACAATCAGTTTGCTGCTTCCATGAGACCATGACTAGGTTTGGGAATATCTTGGAACCTGAGGTTCGGGCCGATTGTAGTTATGTCAATTCCTACGGCTTCTGATCAAGAAATACACATATGCTTGATGTGATCCTGGGTGGTGACCCAAAACCATTCCCATTGAAGTTCAAAGAAGAAACCAAGTCAAGGGAAGAAGAAGCTAGAAATATGGCTAAGTCTGGAATCAATTCATGGTACCTACTTTGAAGGCTTACTCCTTTTGTTTGGCAGACATCCAAGCAAGGGAAGGAGTTGGAGATGATAGAAGAAGTGTTTCAAAGAATTGTGAAGGCATGGGATGATCGATTTGAAGCTTCCTGTGCACCAAACGAGCAGCTAGAAGATCGTATTGTGTGCAGTAAATATTCCACGGTGTGGAAGCCAAAATCCACGACCGTGGAATTCAAGTTCGGATAGTGGATTTTCTTTAGAGCATTTCCACCCCAAGACACCAAAATCCATGGCCATGGAATTCGAGGGGGTGACCGTGGAATTTGACCTAATGAGGTTTGTTGCCTTTTTTGTTTTAGGATTATTTTTCCTTTTTTGGTGTTTTGATTAGGTTTAATTTTGCATACCTATTTAAAGGGTTGTACAAACGAATTGTGGAGATAGAGAATTTTGTTGAATGAAATTAACTCTGAGGAGTTTTCCCCATAGAGCATGAGTGATTATGGTTCATTGCTTCAGCTATCGGTGGATTCCATAGCTAGTGCAAGATCCTTGTTTTAGTTTTTCTATCAAGGATTCCCGAACAGCTTAGCAAGACTCTTAGCGATCACACTTGATTGTGGCGAGTATCTACTCCCCCACATATCCTTTACTTTTCGAGTTGTTAAAAGAAAATTCAGAAAAACCTAAAAAGATCGAAGTTGCGCGACTTTGACAGAAGAACCTAAGCTTTCACGAGCTCGGGATCTTATCAAGTGGTATCACAGCTCCGGTTCAAATAAGTGGACAGGAGAAGAAGATTGCACGCTTTCTGCAAGTTCCGACAATGGCAGAAGAGTTAGGGCAAGGTAATCCGTTTTATACTCGTTGTTTGATTAAAGAAAACTTGAGTTCTGTGCTGGTAGATGGAGGGATCAAATCAAATTTGGTTAGCACAAGAACCGTGGAGAGATTGGGGCTACCAACGCGTTTCCATCCAGCTCCATATATTATGCAACTTCCTGGCGAAAAGATTCCTAGCGTCGTGTATACATAGGCTCATGTGAAATTCACCATTTGGACGCTATGAAGACGAGGTCTTGTGCGACCTGGTGTACAGGCTTACAAATCACATTGTGCTGGGACAAACCTGGTTCCAAGATCGTGGAGTTCCTTTGGTCAGCAGAAGGTGCAAAAGCTTCAGATTGACGAATCAGAAGAAGGTATTCGTTTTGAAGACTTTATCCCAGGAGGAAGTTGCTGATGATTTGAAGACTTTGCAATGATTTCGGCAGGAGTATGAAGAAGAGCATATAACCAAATACTCGTTGCTATCCACGACAAGCACATGAACATCAGCTAGCACACAAGAGGTTGCAGAAGGAAAGACTCAACTGCCACAGGCTCATGAGGAGGAGCAGAAGGTCGGGGAAGTAAACACTTCCATATCAAGAGGAACCCGAAGAAGAAAAGTTGTTGACCAACTCCCTAGATCATAAGGAGGTAGAAGAACTGGCAGAGAAAAGTGGTGAGGCTGAAGTGGTTCAGATAGAACAAATTAAATCAAGCTATCACGATCCTTTTTGTTTTGATTCTGAACATGATTTGAGGTGTACGAGCCTGCAAGCTTTGAGGACAAAGTTTTTTGAAGGGAGAGCGACTGATGTGATCCTGGGTGGTGACCCAAAACCATTCCCATTGAAGTTCAAAGAAGAAACCAAGTCAATGGAAGAAGAAGCTGGAAATCTGGCTAAGTCTGTGAATCAGTTCATGGGACCTACTTTGGAGGCTTACTTCTTTTGTTTGGGAGACATCCAAGCAAGGGAAGGACTTGGAGATGACAGAAGAAGTGTTTCTAAGAATCGTGAAGGTAGGGTTGGGCAACGGGAAACGGGTATTTGGGTATACCCGTACCCGTCCCGTTTTTTAAGGGTTACGGGTACCCCATATTACCCGTAATATTTTAAACGGATGGGACTTGGGATTGTACAGTCCTAATATGGGTACCCGCGGGTTACCCGCGAATACCCGTTTGGGTAATATGGGTACCCGTTGTACCCATCATATTACAAAGACATATAATTCAGCCCATGCGCCCAGGCCCAACCCAATTCAAAATCCATTAAAATTACAAAATCCATTTAATTCAGCCCGTGAGAGTTGAGACGCTGACGCACCCTTGCTTGCTGCTGCAAAATTCACCACATTCCCCACCCTATTTTGCCAAACTGAGGATTGATTTGAGTAGAAACAACATTATTATTATTATTATTATTACTGAATCATGGCACTTTCCAGGAAGCAGAACCTGTTTTCTTTCTGGGTTTTATTATTTGGTTCTTTCCCCTTCCTTGATTCCTTTTCATCTTCATGATCATCCCTTCTTTGGGTTGTAGGAATTGGTGTAAGTTGCTACTTGTGCAGCCATTTTGTGTTTTGAAATGAATGCTTTGGATGTAATTGACTAATTGTCTTTAGGTAAAATGTCATTTAAACTTTGGGTATTTATGGGTAGTATGGGTACCCGTTATCCGTCCCGTACGGATAATGGGTACCTGTTTCCCATATGGGTTTGGGATATGGGATGGACTTTGGTCTCCAAATGGGACTGGGTATCCCGTCCCGTCTCGTTGCCCACCCCTACGTGAAGGTATGGGATGATCGATTTGAAGCTTCCTGGGCACCAAATGAGCAGTTAAAATATCGTATGGTGACCAGTCAAAAATCCGCGGTCTGGAAGCCAAAATCCACGACCATGGAATTCAAGTTCAGACAGTGTATTTTGATAAGAGCATTTCCACGCCCAAGACACCAAAATTTACGACCGTGGAATTCAAGGGGGTGACCGTGGAATTTGACCTACGAGTTTTGTTATCTTTTTCGTTTAGGATTCTTTTTTCTTTTTTTGGTGTTTTGATTATGTTAATTTTTCCAGACCTATTTTAAAGGGTTGTACACATTAATTTTGGAGATAGAATTATGTTGAATGAAAATTAACTTTGAGGAGTTTTCCCCATAGAGCATGAGTGCTTATGGTTCATTGCTTCAGCTATCGGTGGATTCCGTAGCTAGTGCAAGATCCTTGTTTTAGTTTTTCTGTTGAGGATTCCAGAAGAGTTTAGCAAGACTCTTATCAATCAAGCGATAACACTTGATTGTGGCTAGTATCTACCCCCACATATCCTTTAATTTTTGAGTTGTTGAGAGAAAATTCAGAAAACCCTAAAAAGATCAAAGTTGCACGACTTTGACAGAAGAACCTAAGCTTTCAATAGCTCGAGATCTTATCAATGTTCTTCTCTTTTGATTTTGTCTTCTTTTAATGTTTTGTTTTCCGTTTGGGCCCTCCTTTTTGTGTTGCGAGAGAGAGGCTCAATGTAAGATCTCTAGTTCAAAATATATGAATTCAGGAAATGAAAAATTGTCTATAAAGGTGATAAATTACATATTTTGTTGTCTAGTTAACAGTATGTAAATGATGATACTGTTTAGTAATTAGGATTCAGGAGGCAGAGGACTCTGCTTCATGGCTTAGGATACGAGTAACCGTTGGTTACTCACCCCCCACGGTAACCATCTAGGAGCCGTTGAATTGGACGGACTCATTGTGTGGCTGAGATGGATGAGGGAATGACCAGGGGTATTTTTGTCTATTTATTTAGTTTTGTATTCTTTCCCTTTTTATTATGCCCAACATTTATTAGCTGGTTTCAATGGAGGAGAGAGAAAGTTCAGCATTTCCTTTTTTTGAAACGCTTTTTTCCTCTTTCTCTCTCCTAATTTCCTTCTTCTCCAGATCTGATTTCTTTTTCTTTTATTCATTTTTTTCTTCATCAATTACGAAGGAAAAGTGTAGCCTCCTTTTTCATTGCGTTTCTTCTTTTTTTTCAATTCTGTTGACGCTCAAGATCTTTCTTCTCTCAAGCTGCTCCCTCCTTCTATTCTTTTTTTTTTCACCAAAAATGGACGAGGGAAAAGTGAATCCCTCTTCTTTCATTATGTTTCTTCTCTTTGTCAAGTCCTCGGCCTCAAATTTGGTGAAGCTCCATATCGACCAAGAGGAGAAAGATCTACGTGAGTCGAGCTTGCATGTTTTATATTTTAGTATTTGTTTGTGGATTTTCAATTCCAATCTTCCTCATTTTTTTCTTTTGGTGTTCTCAAATGAGGGGGAGAAAATGTGAGGAGGTAGAAGACGAGCTTGTGAAGAATGCCTTAGTTAGATGTATATTGTGGTTATCATACTATATCATATGGTAATGTGTGGTAACTAAACGCATTTTTATGATTACCATGTTTTACCATGGTGGTAGAGGGTGGTCATTGACACTAGTTCACAGAAAGAAGAGTCAGCAGACAATGAAGTGGACAAGAAAGTGAATAAAGTCCTAATTAGATATATATTGAGATTACCACACTATACCATATGGTAATGTGTGGTTACTAAATGTATTTTTGTGGTTACCATGTTTTTATCATGTTGGTGGAGGGTGATAATTAGATTTATATGGTTTTACCTTCTCTTATCATGTGGTATTGTGTGGTAATTATAATTAATTTGTGATAATTCGATTTATCATGTTCTATTATGGTGGTATGATAAGGTAGTTAGATGTATAATTTTATTTAGCATGTTTTACCATGTTATACCAAGTGGTATTGTATGGTAATTATATTTGTAGTTTTCTTTAGCATATTTTATTATGTTATAAAATAGTTGTAGGTGGTGGTAATCATATTCATACTTGTAATTATCCTTTTAAGCATAAATGATTGAATAAAAACATCACCATTCAATTTGAGTTGAATTTAAAGTTGGGAAAGCATGAATATTTTTGTTCTTTTAGTTTAGGTGAGAGATAATTGTTTTTTTCTTTCTTCTTTTAGTGACAGAAAAAAAGTGTAACAAAGTGTTTATTTATTTATTTGCAGATGTGAGAGAGGAAAAGCATGAGGACGGGTGCAGGGTGGAAAAAAAGAGGGAGGAAAGCGTTGGGGCGGGAGTCGTGGTGGGGTTCGCATTTGGTCAAAATTCAGTATTATCAGTAAATGGGTGGACACTTTTATGATTTTTCCCCTCCGTTTATTTAAATTTCGTGAACTGACGACTACGAATTGAATACAATAAAAAATAAATAATTTTGTTACTGGCAATTACTGACTAGAAGGATACTGATGGGATTCGGACCCCTGCTTCATAAAGGTAAGGTAACTCCATTTTGTTTTAAAGTTCTATAGATAACCTTGAATTTTCTAGGAATGAAATCCAAATCTTGTGGGCCGAAATAGTAGTGGTCCAGAGCATTCCACTATTCACGTTCCACCCAAAGCCCATAGTGGGCCTCCCTTGGTCTTCATCCCAGGAGACTATATGGGTAGCCCTCATAGTCGCAAAAGTCATTAAGAGAAAAAGAAAACGCAGGTCTCAGCTAGTAGGGCTCCCCTCTGCCCCAATTCACATACCCTTACGGGCCTAGTAGTAATATCGAAGCATTCTCATATTAGAGTTCAAATGGATAGATAATTTTTACCAATAAAAAACAGTTGAACCAATTGTGATACAAAATATTATAATGTTAACTCTAACTTTCTGGTACATTATCTACCCACCTAAAAAGCAAAATCCTTCTCAATTGGTCTGCATAAATATCACCGCCATGACAACCACAGGATTGCACTCATCTTCATGAGAGAGAGAGAGAGAGAGAGAGAGAGAGAGAGAGAGAGAGAGAGAGAGAGAGAGAGAGAGAGAGACCCAATCCATCCCTTTCCATGCACATATCAATCACACACACACCTCATTGAGACAGACAGTGACCGCAGCTAAAGTAATGCACCAGACCAGTACACACCTCCACCCTCACAAATTCATTTCCTTTCCTTTCCTTTCCTTCATATCTCCCTCAATCACTCGCTCTTTCTCCCTACCCACCCTTTTCACAAATCACTGTGAATAGCTAGCTAGCTAGCCATGGCCACCTGAAGTTTGATTTCCAGCTTCCTACCACCCTCTTTTCAACAATCAAGCTCTCTCCTCTCCTCTCCTTGTTAGATGTTGATTCTTCCCAGTCATCATCACCATCAGCTGGGGTGCACTGGCTGGATGGTTCACACATAAAAAAAAAACCCCAAAGTACTCTCCATTTTGCATGGCTGGAGATCATCATCATCATCATCATGACCATCCATGTAGATCATTCATCACCACTCCCCATTTCTTCTTCCCACCACCACCATACAACTAAACACATCCTTGCTCCGTCAGTTGTAAGATCAACCCTCCTCCTTTTCTTCCTTGTTCTTTCCTCCATGGTTGTTCACTTAGAGATTACCACGGCAGCAGCAGCTGTTGATGATCCTAAGGTGAAAGTGGGCCTACATATCTCTGCCGTCGTCATCAGAGATCAAACAAGGTTCCACTTCCATGGGAGCAGTCGGAGGAGTGGAAGGTTCCGGCCCCGGAGAACGCCATTGCCGTGGCAGGAAAAAGGTTCGTCGTCGGCTATGTTCAATGCCAGTGCCCATGAAGTCCCCAGCGGTCCCAATCCCATTTCCAACAGGTGACGATGATCCAAGCCCCAAATACAGACAGATGTAGAGCTAGCTAGCTGGATTTGGTTATATATATTGGTTTTCAATTTTGATATTTAATATAAATTGTTATGTATATATACACCTAGCTAGTAGCTACCATTTTTGTTATATTATTTTGCTTGGTACGTTTATGGTTTGGAGGTGCTTTAATTTACTTTGTGTTTCCCCCCTCTGTTTTGTTTCTTCCTCTATATATATATATATATATTTATACAGCAGACGACCATTTAGCCAGTAATTATTATTAGGGCTTCGTACGTCTTGGATGTTCTTGGGTGGTCATTTTGTTGGGTATTACTGAAATGGAATCGTGAGACCCAAGTTGTACAATTTTTAGGTCTCAATTATTATGTGTGTTTGGTTTTTCTTTGTGGCTCAATTATTGGGCTCATCAGTTCCAAGGGACCCTACCTATCAAAATCATTGAATTTTAACCATGTGAAAAGAGGATATGTGATATGTCTGATTTGATCCCGTATACACGTATGTGATATAATTGTTAATTATTATGATAATGATGTCTTTACTTTAACCCTCACATGTGTACTTTATTTGTTAATGATTAATTATTTACATCTGATTTTATTATCCACCAGATTAACGAGTAAAACTTTATAAGAAAAAAGGATTAACGAGTAAAATGTGGTGATCGATCTCTCTACACCATTTTCACGGATTTTTTTTTTCCTTCTATATCTATGAGTCAAACCCACTCAAAATGAGATATTGATATCTAGAATATGATTTAATTCGAATCTGGGTATAATATTATTGTACTATAATTTTTGTATACTCCAAGAGTCGCTAATCATTACCTCCTCTATATAAAAATGATTGAGCATATGTTTTGATTTATTTATGCTAATTAAGAAAGATCATAATTGTCGAGGTTTTTCTGTAATCTAATGATCACAAACTTCTCTTCTCTTGTCGATCGATAAATATTTTGTTCTTTATTATTCGTTGAATATAATATGTGTACAAATTTAGAAAAGAATAGGTAGAAGTGAAAAAAGAGGATCAGATTCTATGGCCAAAAAGAAAGAAAAAGGAGAATCAGATTCTTAATTAACAACCATCTTAATTGGTTATAAAGGTCTAAAGGTCGATTATATTTTGGGCATGTGTCTTTGTAATTGTGGAATTAGAATGGAAAAGGATAATTATGCATCGAAAGTTACAAATAGGGGGAAATTTCATAATACTCGTATTATGTATATTGCGTGGTCTTGTTCGATCTAGTACGTTAGATCATGTGTTTTGGAAGATTAAAATCATCTATTAATATTTTTTTAATAAAATCAATACTCTTTATATATTCTAGTTAATTTGTGATCTAAATAATGTACCTTATTAAAAATATGTTATACTCTAATATACATTAGATAATTAGAAGGCACCTTATATATCAAATGCTCATAGGCTAGAGTGAGGAATATATGCAACAAGAGATAAGAGTCGGGAGAGGTGCTTTGTACGATTTGGTTGCTTTGTTGGTTAGTCAAAAAAGCAGCTTGGGTTTCCTTTTATGATCCCGGCTTGTCCTTCCTTTCCTTTCCTTTGCTTTCCTTTTCTTTCCTTTCTCTTCTCTGAAAAGCCAACTCTCTACTTACTTTGCACCATACGCATTGAAGAAAAGTATTATCAGTAACTATACTAATTAAGAGAATCCTTCACCATTTCAACATATATCAATGTGTCTTATTGACTCTCGATCCCAAAGCTCCGAGTCACACAAAACCTTGCGACGAACAATGTTCCGCAACAACACACATCAACTGGATAGATAGGAGAGTGCAAATGGCTAGCTCCAAACATCCTCCCTCCCACATCCTTCTCTCCAAATCAAACTGACGGCTGGACACTACATCAATCTTTCCAAGATAAGGTGCATCATTCTTCCCACCAAATGATGAACACACCACTGAACCATAAATGATCACGTCACATTCTTCCCCAGACGGGAAAAGTTAATCTGCTAACTTGAAGATTCGTTAGCAGATACTAACTGATATTCAAAATACATGAATTGGTATCCAAGTACTAAAGTATCTAGAGAGCACAAACTAGTATTCAAGGTTTGATAACTTATATCCACCATGAATCAACTATTATCCCAAATTCACAAACTAATATCTAGACAACACAGAATAGTATCCATACCGCACATAATTAGTATCCAGATAACACATAAGAGTATCCATATTGAATACTAGTTGGTTGATTGTGGATATTAGTTTGTATCTGCTATCTGGATACTAATTTGTGATGTTTTGAATACTAGTCTGTGTTATCTATATACTTTAGTAAAATCAGCAGACATGGATATTAGTTCATACATTTTGGATATTAGTTAGTATATACTAACAACTTATGTAGTTAGCAGAATAACTAGGCTGCACCCAGACTATAAGCTTGTCTTGCGGAGTTAGCGCTACTTACTAATAACTAAGATTTTTTTAGAAACAATATACTTGTAGCCATAGTTAGTAAAATACAGTACGAGAAAGTTACATATAAAATACGTACGGGTACTAAACTTCGTCTCTTAGCTAATGTTACGTTTAATAGTACGTTAATAGTCATAAATATATTAAATTAATTATTTTAACAAATAAATAAATATGTAAAAAATAGTAATGTTGATAATTTAAATTATTATATACGGATATTAAACGTGTTATACGGGTTTTATACGTGTTTAGTACGGAAGCCGTCAAATGAACGGAAACAAATGAAAAAGCTTGACAATAATACGGATATGGAAGTTTTAAACGGATAAAGTACGTACGGGTACATATACATGTATGAAACGAAGTATTTACTAACTATACTTGTAGGGCGGCTTAATTTTTATACGTTAATTAACGATGAGGATTTTCTTTTAAAATCGTTAAATAAATAAATATTTCAGTACAAGACAGGGAAGAAGTGGAGCAGATGAGCAGATCATTAATGCGAGTTTTGGTCCTTTCATTAATCACTAATTAGCTTCTATGGTGCATAAATTAGTTAAAACAAAGAAAGAAATTCATTAACAAATAGCAACAACTCGACAACAAGAGAGATCGAAGAATAGACTACAGCGAGCATGGTTTTGCGTGCGGGTCGTTGTAATGTAGCAGACCAGACACATAACATAATGGCACGGACCGGGGCGGTGGCCCGTGGGGTTCAGCCAAAGGGGAAGGAAAGAAAGAAGAGAAGAAGGGTCCCTTTCTGTTTCGAAAACTTCCCAAAAATAGCCTTTAATTTGCCCTTCTCCTCCTCGTTTCATACTTGTTGTACTGATGCTGCCTTGCCATGTATCATGGAAACGGATCAGGTCAGTAACTTTATGGTGAGTAACCATGAGTAACTCGTTCAGATTAATTGTGATATTCAAAATGATATTCACTTTGATATATTTTTCGCACAAAAAAAATCGAGTCATTTTTTACCAGTCTATATACCATATGGTATTGACTGGTATTGAAAAAAAAATACCTATGGTTTGAAAAGCGTACCATGGTGGTATGAACAATCCAAGACTGTAGGATGATTGAATACATGATAATAGAAGTATATTAGTTGTCATTTACGACTTTTGACATAGTGTAGCACAAGATACCACTCTGTACCAGGATGGTATTGTATGGTATTGTGTGGTATTTTTTAGTCCTGTAATTTGTTCACTCGGAAATTTGTAGATCCAATAGACCATGATGCACTCGTCCCTTCTGAGCAAACGTTGTCAAAAACGAATTAAAATCCGAGTTAAAACGAAAAAGATATGAGCCGATTAAGAAAGTTAGAAAAAATAAAAATGACATTTAATTTTCCATCCTTAGATCTGAATTTTCAAAATGAAGGATCCATCAGATTTTGTTATACACTCTATCTTGAGCCATGCCCATGCCCATGCCCATGTGTCTATGAGCTGCTGAAAGGGTAAGTAAGGAAGCTGAAGAAGAAAGAAAGGCTGTCAAGTTAAGCAATATATCAGTACTGCACTAAAACCAAACTCTCTTTCTCTCTTCTTCTGTGCAGTCCAACTCTGGCGCCTTGTTCTACTCTCAGCTTCTGTAGCTCTCTGTGGTTTATTTTTCTTTGATTTCCGGTTTCTCTCTGTTTGTACAGTTTCGTCGGTTAGCTGATGGAAGTTTCTGTTGGGTTGTTTTGGTGGCGTCTCTCTCACTTTCCATGACATGAATCGCAATAATGTGGACTGGACTGTCTGTTTCACGGTTTGGGACACTCGGCCGATTGCGGAACACCCCGGCTCTAGAATTTTGTGTATGATCTACATATTTTTTTACAAATTATTTTATTTCGAGATAGCGGACACACCTTCAATAATTATAACCAACATACCTTCATTATACTCGAAGAATTTATTATCCGAATAAATCAATCTTAATCATAATCCTTTTTAATTTTGTTTAAAATAACTCATAAATCATAATTCTATCAATTCCTATTAAAAAAAATAAACTATCAGCCCATACAATATACATGTGTGATGTGTGTTGGGCCTCGGCCTACAATTAAAAGAAGAAGAAAAAAATCCACAGGCCTAATGGCCAATAGCCCAGGCGGCCACTAACTCCTCATCATTACCTGTTGCAACGACAAGCTGCGAAAGAACATTTTTAGCTATGAAGATAATCAAGAATGATCTTCGAAATCAGTTGAGTGACCAATTTATGAATGATTGTTTAGTTGTGTATATTGAAAAAGATTTTCTTTGCAGTATAAGTGATTAATGTATTTTAGAGACATTTCAGCGGATGAAAAGTCATCGCGATTCGTTGTAAACATGACAGAACTTTATGAATTAAATTTTTTTAATTTCTACTTAATTTTGTATTTAATTATTATTTTATTTTATTTTATCGGCGACACTCCTCTCCGACAATCCTGAGTCCGCCACTGCGGCCGAACCACAACCCACGGATCTGCCTGTCTGTCTTACCCTTCCTTCCTTGGGCTTCTTCTGTATAATGTGGGCTAGCCTAGCTAATTCTCGACTTAAAAACGAAATTAACTTTCACCCAAGTCAGTAACTTGGTTGGAAGAGTCCATGGTATTGGTTGTGCTTAAACAATATTTTAATACTTGACGTTAATTACCACGAGTGCAATACAAGATTTTTCGGTCCATCAAAATCTAATATCATGTTAAGAACTCAGTTTGTTCAGATAACATAATATTGTATTTTAAAAGTGAGTTCAACACTATATATATTTTATAGCTATCAGTCAAGTGTAATATTTTAAAAGAAAGTTATCGTCCCAATCCCTTTTTTAGGCTTATTATCAATCAAGTCATTAGGCAGAGTACCCTGCCCCCCTGCAGCAGGTGCAATGGCAAATGCCAGTCTCGTTATAATTGGGATGATAACGTTCTCAGGAAACTGGGTTGTTTGTTGTTTGTTCCCATGGCAAAGCAGATTGGCCCTGCAGATACTATACATGAGATGAGAGGTGAGGCCAATCAATAATAGAACCCAAAGCTAGGAGTGGGCATTCGGTCGGTTTGGTTTCGACCGAACCGAAATTATGAATACAGGGTCCCCGAATTCTCCCAAACTTCAAACCAAATTCGAACCGAATCATAATTCGGTTCGGTCGGTTTAAACCGAATTATAATTCGGTTCGGTCGGTTTAAACCGAATTATAATTCGGTTCGGTTCGGTTTTTCACACAAAACCGAATTTGTGAAGGTACTTGTATTTTCTCACTTTTAAATTATTTTTCACCCCTAATATAAACAATAAATATCAATTATATGCATCATCAATGATAAACCAAAATTTTCAACACATAAGTCTTAAAACATTTCAAATATTTAAGTCTAAAAACAACTACACATAAAAATCCATCATTTGGAACTTGCAATTATAGTATTTCGGTTTTTCGGTCGGAAATTCGGTTCGGTTGAAAGAGCCCTGATTTCCGAACTCTCCATATTTTCATTTCGAATTTCGAACCGAATAGCATTAATTCGGTTTTGGTTCTGGTTGACCGAACCGTTTGCCCACCCCTACCCGCCCACCCCTACCCAAAGCACAAGGTTGGGAGTTCAACCAGGTTGCACGTGAAGATGCCACAGAGGGTTTCATTAGGGTTAGTGGTGGGAATGGAGTTCAATGCAATTCATCTTTCATGCAGAATGTTTGACAAGACACCAAATTAAATGGGAGGAAAAGGATTACCTTTCCATCATTACTTGCTTCTTTTTTACACTAAACCCCTTTTCTCCAACCTTTCTCAAAAGCAGCTCCCAACTCTTAAGTCGCATAATGGAACAGAGCGAGTGGTCTAAAAAACTCGGACCAAACAATTATGAATTCATGCCGCTCAGCTAGACTCCTTCATGTTTCTAAATCATGTTCTGTAGGCAAAGAAATTCGATATGCCCATTCGAGTTTTTAACAATACCCTTTAGCTCGCACCAGCTAGCTAGTAGCTCGTTTTCTCCAAGGTTTTCCTCACGATAGTAGTAGCTCAAACAGAGTTTTGCTGAATAAAGCAAATGATTGGAGACATTGTGTTTGGTATGACACCCCCTATCCATTCTCTACCTTTAAAGAGGTCAAAAGGCATTGTTGCTTAGATGAGCCATTTTCGATAGCCAAAACTAGTAGCGCGAGATGAACATGAAATCAGGTTACAGTACCCAACTGCGCACAATCCTTTTACAAGCGAAACTCGAAATGACCAAGTTACAAGCTCCAATAGCACTATACCATGCAGCCTGCTACCTTTCATAGGTAATCTCTAGGCTTTCCCTGGGTGATGACTATTACCCAATTCTGACAGGGACGTTACAGGAGGATTGTTCATGGTGAGATGGCTCTGCCCCTCACCCTTTGGCATTAACATAAACTTTGTCCTCTTTTTGGAGGGGTCGAGGATGGATTTGGGTGGAGCAGGTACGTAAGACTATCCACTCTTACAATCAAAAGGGAATAACTTTCCTCCCCACTTTCGGATTTTGAACTTAAGCACATTCCAATCACCTTTTCTTTTCTATCAGTTGTCCCCTTTTGAACACTAATTACCCAAGTCGACTCCACTCAGCCCTCAGCCTCATGCAGCAACCGACGCGTTCTAACTATGCTAAAAGCCTAAAACCCTCTCCACAGTAACATACTGTGCCTTCAAAAGACTAACTAGACTAGTCCTAGTCACTCTCAAAGACCAAGAAAAGCTTCAGAAACTTTAACCTGTCTCCTCCAGCGAAAGGAAAAGGCCAATGCTAGTATAGTATGTGTCGTAGCTTTTTCTTACTTTACCAAAAGAGGGCCAAAATGCAGGAGAGGAGCATCCGACGGCCAACCCTTCCCAGCAAGCAAAACCTCGTCACGCAGTTTCACGACACCACGACACCTGCCCTCGGTATGCCCCCATTTACACAACATACAAAGACCATCATCATCAGATTGCAAAATTTATGAGGCAAAGGATCCCCTAACAGATTCTTACAAGGTAACTGTGTTCGTAGTTGTTAACTTGCTGTATCGCCTAATTCTGTAGTTGTAGCCTATAAGCTGCATCACAAAAAGTGAAAAGAACTTGCATCCTACATGCAACATAACCACCACATGTACAGCAAAAACTTACTATGAACGAGGCTTTCTGTATGTGCAAAGTTATTTTCAAGAAGGCATATCATTGCTTTGGGGTGTTGTCTCAAGGCCAACAAGTGTAGATGAGACCATCTCTAGATCCACACCATGCCCTGAAACTAGGGCTTACACCAAATGAACATTCTTCGACGGATTTACTGTCACCGGACGATGTTGTTGCTGCCTCCAATAGCCCTGCAGAAATCCGGTTCAACGGTGAATAATGTAAAACCATCCAAGCATAAACCCTTCCTATCCACATAACAGTAAAAATAAAAAAGAGCTAGCTTGCCTTTCTGCCAACACACAGTTGAGGGGACTGCATCAGATACTTTTTCATCAAAGAGCAGCTTACCAGACTTGATACTCCAAAGACGTAGATGACAGTCCTCTCCACCTAGTGGAATCAGGTAGAACAGAGATATCGGGTGAGTTAAATCCTGATTTCATTTTTTTTTTTTTCAAACTGGTGTGGTCAAAAATTCAAACAGAATTTGTTAGGATTACTATACGCCATAAATTGCACAACTTATCTAAATCAAAATGCCAAATCACTAACAAAATCCACTTATTTCTTTCTTATAAAATAAGATAAAAACTCTCTCCCATCATTAACTTTTTGTTACTCAAAATATTCCATATCCCATCCCCTCAAACTCTATCTCCGCCGCAACGTAAAAATATTCTCACTTTTACAAAGACTTAAAAAAGGCGTTTCCTTTCAAGCAAAGTTAACACACACTCGCCCTATATTTTGAACTCCTGAAGCTTCTGTATAACTTGTATATAACATCATGTATAGTGACATACCTGCCATAAGAAACCTCTCAGAGGGGTCGACTTTGAGCTGTAATCGTGTATGAGAGTTCACATGGCCTTCATATACCTGTACAGCACCTCTGTTGGTCAAGCGATGATCGTATAACTTGATCTGCATGGTGGAAAGAGTGATTGAGGATTAGAAGAGATCTAATCCTTCCAACCCAAGCTAATTGCATGATGGGCCCACTGTTTATGATGACATTGACTCGGTAACAAATGACATCAGGAAATTGATTTATTTGGTAAATTTTGTTCACACACAGGAAATGAGTTTCAGATGATTAACAATGAGCAAAAGTTACTTACTAGTTACTAAGTGTGCACAAACACCCAAGAAATGTTCAATTAACTGGAAGGGAAAAAAATAACTAACCGCTCCATCCATCGAACTGGCCAAGAAATATTGGTCGTAAAGCTGAAGTGAGACTATACTGTAAAGTTACAACAAGCACGCTGGGTTAAAAAATCTTTCATACATAAAATTGTTAATTTACCCAGATGGATTCAGCAGGCATACAAACCTGCAAACAGATGAGGGCATGCAAACCGTAGAAGCCGGATCTATATTCCCCTCAACCTGGGAAAAAGTAAAAAAGATGTGGTAAGCACCAAACAATTTGGAGAGGAACAAAAAACTGCAGTAAGCTTTGTGTTCAGGAAGACCACAGATAATCCAATTTGACAATGAATGGAAAGGAAGGCAAATTGCAAACGATATGAAAAGGGATCATCCAGCTAACCATGCAGAAAACTGTAGCACAAATGACAGAGCTAAAGCACCTTTAAACTTTCATGCCCACTTCCAGATCTGTGTCATTTACTATTAATGAATTCATTAATGTGGTTAATATTTATCCATTCAAGTAGATCGACAGTAAGCAACCATTTAGTGATTTGATATTATTAGGATAACATCTTTAAGCATTTTGGCATGCAAGACATTACATTAATGATTGATTCAGATCAACGTTATAAGATCCCTTCATTCAGTATGTTACGTAAATAAACCACTGCAGAGAAAAGTATCATTCTGAGTAGCCCAGCTTAAGCTCAAATTTCAACTCAGAGCTTCATATAGCTTTTTTTCATCTTCCAAAGTATTTGTTTTTCTCCCACACAAAAAATTAAGCCAAGTTTACCCGAGAATACAGATCAATTGAACACATCCACAACTTAGTACCTATCTAGTCATCGCCACAGTATTAACTCTTTGAGCACGATTATCAACCAAAGGAAATAGAATTTCATACCCTAAACCATGATGCACGATGTTGAGCACGATTGCCCAATGGTATAGACTGTACCCTATGACTGCGTCTACCAGAATGACCTTGTTTCTCACGAGTATCAACTGACAAGATTGCCCCATTTCGCAGTCCACATAGAACAGCATTTCCCTACAGCATAAACAAATTACAGAATTGAATTAAACACTGCCCCATGAACTGTGTAACAGTATATAACTAAGAAAACTATGGCAGCACATTACCGCCTTATTAAGCTGCTGGGACAAAACATCACTTTTACTTCGGCACAACCATGATATGATTCCTGTTTCTAAATTGACCAAAGCGGCTCCTAAATTTGTCCCTGGATAAATATGAACAATACAATCAATCAGTAATTAGCATGAACCAGTAACAAACAAACAGTTGGTGCTCCTCATTTGCCTGATCAACTAAATTGCCCACCAATGTTGAGGTTATTTGCGATAGTGAACCGTTTTGTTTAAATATGCAGTTTCAGACAAAACTGTATCCATCCCAGTTTTGCAGCTCAAAAAGAAGAAACTGAAACAACATTTGGTGTGGCAGTACGGGAGGAAAGAGTTGTAAGAGCTAATACATCAAAAGATATAACCGTGAAACAGAGCAAGTTAAAACAAAGGAAGGAACTTGCCTATCACTGCTTCTCTAGCATTAGAGTTGCAATCTGCTGTCCATATAGTGCAGCTCATAGAAGCAATTCGAGAAGGAGCAACACCATATTCTTCTAGCTCCATGAATTTAAGAAGACAAACAGTGCTGTTTGATGTTTCAGACCCAAGAGTTGTCACCCTGTACTTAATTAAGGACTTGGCCAAAAGAAAGAAATACGCTGTGTTCCTTCTTAAAGAAACCGAACCCCATTTTTCCATGAGCAATAAAATATTGATAAATATATTAAGTAACTAATAAAATCTTATGTATAAACGCAGCCAAAATGTTTCATACAAATAAAGAATCTCACGCTGCATATGATTGATCAGAAACAGCACAAGGAAAATAGCATTTTTGAACAATTGTTACAGATGACAGGAACAAATCCTCAGAATTTTTACTAAGGGTCAGCAAAAAGACATCTGGAAATATCAAACATAAAGGAGATAAATTCTGCTTCAAAGTTTTGCCAAAATAGAAAAGGAACAAATCCTCGGAATTTCACTAAGGGGCAGCAAAAAGACGTCTGAAAATATCAAAAATATAGGATACAGGCCATGCTGGATGTGACAACCTATATCAGCACTCAGATGAGAAGTCCTCCCGAGCAGTTTCACAGAAGATATGCTTGAACTCAAAAAATTTGAATATGATCTTCCAACATGTTCAGGGGGTTTATTTGTTCTATCTCCTATTGTTGAGGGCCACACACGATCTGGCATAACGCGGTTTAATTGATGATCACCACCATTTCCAACTTCAATAACACTGCAAGAGCACCGAACTTCAAAAGAAAGAGCTCATAAACTAATATGATTACTACTCTGGGTACCAGCAATGAGGAAATAAGATACCATAGATAACAAAAGAGATAATTTACAGAGTAGTACATTCCAGAGCGCTAAAAGCATCATCCACGAGAATAGTCAAACAGGAATACACAACCACACAGAAAGCAGTAGTCAAGACACCCATGAGATGTCATAAGCTAGGAGAAAAAGAAGAAGCAGAAACAACTTCATAATCATTCTAAGGAGTTGGTACCTACTACCGGATCTGTCCATCAAGTGCTAAGTATTGCATAAAAATAATTTCCGGCAAGACAAAAGGTAGTCTACAGAAAAGTTATGACTCGTGATATCAACAAAATATTTTCTTAGCCACACAGAAGGCAGTTACTTTGTTTCATTGTATCATAGTACATCTAGTGAGCGGGCTTAATCCGCATAAAAACAGACCCAATTCACATAAGAGTATGTGCATCACAAACCCTAAACTATTTTAAAAAATCCACAGCTCTGATAAGTACAGGAAAACCTACTGCATCCAGGAATGTTTGAGAAGGCATAAATTTTTAATAAGCAAGTGTAAGTAATTACCTCAAGCAGCCATTTATACCTCCTGCCACTAGAATGTCCATATTAACTTGACCATCGGGTTTCTGTATGCAAAAACTTGTCTGATCCAAACCACCATCACACGCCAACACGCCAGGCTCTTGATACCTCCAAACCTGCATGCATAGAAACGAAATAAAAAACATAACTTTCTCCATAGCTGCGCATAAAAATAATTCAAAACCATAGGCATTCCATAACATACAATCGAGGACATGTCAAGATAAAAAGCTGAAAAGATTGCCATGGCATAGCTAACCAATTAAGATCGGTAATTTAATTTTTAGAGAAATACTACTGAAAACCCACCATGGGCACCAAGAAGATTTATCCTACGGCATCTTTCCACGACATACTGAACCACGCAGGACCAAGCTTAAGTATCTATGTCAAATAAAAATCCACGAGGCAAACAAAGGCAGGGCTACTATCAAGCAATGACCAATTTCCCAACAACTAATGCTACAGACAAAAACGGAGAACATACTTCTGCTGATTCCACGAGATATAGACTATCAACGTCCTATTGGCTTGCTTCCATACTAAGAGTTTTGACACACAAAATTTGAAAACTGCAGATTTTCCAGAACAAAAGAGAAGACTCCTAGCAGACACAATTTTTTTTTTTGATGAATAGCAGACACAATTTTGCCCTGATCCAGTAACAAACAACAACAAAAATAGATTCAGGGAAGGTAATGCTCCCCATAAAAACAGCTCGATACAAAAAAGCTTAAACCTACCACCGGTTGAGAAGCTTGTGCCTTCTGGTATTCTTGGACAAAATTGTACTTTGATTTACTAACAGAAACCACATTGCCATTCAACTCCCTGCCCTGAAGCAATCTATGAGTTTTTACTCGAGTCCTGCAATATTTGTCTGCCTGCAAGTGAAACCAGAACAAATGTATTAATTCCAAGGACTTCACACAGCAACTTACGATTCCACCATCCTGGTCTCATTAACGATAAAATAGCCACACCATACTAAATCATGGACGGAAAACTAACCTGAGAAGTATTCTGTTTAGGGTTTTTACGATCAGCAGCATACGAAGAAGAAGAGGAAGAGGCACGGGAAGAACCGGGGATTGGGCCTTTGAGAGGGAAATATCTGTTCTTCTCGGCGTCATAGTAGAACCCAGGAAGCTCTGGCACACCATGAGAATCGAAAGGCTAAAACTTTAGAATTCATAACGCCGATAAAAGCACAAATTCAAACATACATACGAAGTGGAAAAACAAAGGGTGAGAGATAGTAGAGAAACCTTGTGGCATGGTTTTAAGTTTCTTCGAAGCAACTTTTTTCGGTCAAGTTGATGGCTTGATCTTTTTTAGCTTTCTGTTGCCGGAGAGGATACAGAAGAGTAGAGGCTGCTGAAAAACAACGGTCACCAGCTGCTCTGAATTCGACGTTGCGGAGTTGCGGTATGAAACTATGAATGTCTTCAGAGTTCTGTCGGTCAAACTCGAAAGTCCGTCGCTGAGTTAACGTAACCAAATTCGGGGTTACTTACTCGGTGTCAAATTAGGGCTTCTTGCTGATGGGCTGAGGTTAGGGGTGGCGACTGGCGATTAGAATTCAAATCCATGAATCCAATTCAATTCATCCACCTAATTCAATTCATTTAAATCCAGTCCATTTGATTCAAATCCAATTGGATTGGTGGATTCATAGATCAATTCATGGATCCAAATGGCAAATTACGATTTGGTACCTATATTTTTATATTTTACATTTTGGTCCAAGTCTTGGATGTCATTTGGATTCATGGATCAATCCAACGACCACCAATCCATTTGATCCAATCCATGAATCCACCAATCCATTGGATCCAATCCATTTGATCCATGGATCCACCAATCCACGAATCCGATCCAATTGCCACCTCTAGCTGAGGTGGTAGAAGGCAGGTAGTATGAATCCAGGCCGAGTTGAGGATGGCCAAGGCTCAACTCATTGGTCTTAACTGCTTAACAAATTTTTGAATGGCCCAAACTAAAAATGAATAAACTAAACAGGGATGAGTTTTCAGATATTTCTAGCAGAGTAAAAGCGGCTGAGCTTGAGATGAGCAGTAAACAGATATTGGCCCTTGAGTGTCCTTCAGGTGATAGTTATGAAGCAGAAAAACAAGCAACAGCTCAATATCACCAATTGCAGCAGGCTGAGGAGAGTTTCTATCATCAGAAATCAAGAATTCAGGGCTTGGCTTTGGGAGATTCAAATTCTGCTTTTTTCCATAAGTCTGTCAAGATTAGAAATGCAAGGAAGCAGATTAGACAGTTAGTGTTGGAGTCAAGACAGGTTATAACTGAGCAAACTCAGATTGCTGATGAGGCAGTAGGGTTTTACAAGCAGCTCTATGGTGAACCAAATAAGGATATTAATCCTCAATTTGTTATAATCAAGCGTTTTGTGACGAAGGCTCTATCGAGCACAGAGCAAAGATTGTTGAGTGAGTAGGTGAGTGAGGCTGAAGTTCGAGCAGCATTGTTTTCCAAGGATCCTAATAAAGCTTCTGGTCCTGATGGGTGGTCTGTTAGCTTTTATCAGAAGAGTTGGGATACAATTGGTTCAGATCTGACAGCTGGGATCCGAGAATTTTTCTGTACAAATGAGCTTCCTCGAGGTATGAATACAGCCTCCCTTACTCTAGCCTCTAAGGCTTTGAATGCGGATAGGATGACTGCTTTCAAACCTATTGCTTGCATTAACATTTTCTATAAAATTATTTCGAAAGTTTTGGCAAATAGGATCCAGCAAGTACTTCCTAGTGTCATTAGCCTCAACCAGTCTGCTTTTATAAGGGGAAGAAGTATAATTGATAATATCCTGATGGCTCAGGAAATGGTTCAGAACTATCAAAACAGGAAGTTGGCTTCTCGTAGTGCAGTTAAGATTGATTTACAGAAAGCATTTGACTCCGTGGATTGGAATTACTTGTTTATGGTTATGAAAGCAATGAACTTCCCTGAGACTTTCACTGGTTGGATTAAGGCCTGCTTAGGTACTGCATTCTTCAGTGTCAGTTTGTTTGGCTCTCTTTTTGGACATTTTGTTGCTCCGAAAGGGGTTAGGCAAGGGGATCCGATCTCCCCATATTTGTTTACAATTGCTCTTGAGCCATTGACAGGGATGTTAGATGCTGCAACACTTGAGGGTAAGTTGCCTTATCATCCTCAGTGTAAAGAGCTTAGGTTAACACATCTGTGTTTCGCAGATGATCTTCTCATTTTTACTGAGGGATCGATGAGAGCTTTAATGCAAGTCAAAAGTCTGTTAGATGAATTTTATTGGTTGTCTGGTCTGAAGTGTAATCCACAAAAGTGTGAGGTCTTTTTTGGGGGGAAAGCAATACAATATAAGGAGAATGCGATCCTGACTACTGGATTTACAGAGGGTAAACTGCTTGTCAGATATCTTGGGGTGCCTCTGATTTCTGGGAAATTGACAAGTAGGGAATGTGCTGTTCTGGTGGATAGATTGACAAGCAGAATCCGAGCATGGAGGGCTAGCTAGCTGTCGTATGCAGGTCGCCTGCAGTTGATTTCTTCTGTGCTTTACTCCTTATGTCAATATTGGATGACCATTTTTGTGCTGCCTAAATCTATCATTGAAAGCATCCAGAAGATATGTTCTGATTTTTTATGGCATGGGGAGGGGACAGGTAAGGCAAAAGTGCATGGGAAATACTGGCTACTCCAAAGAAAGAAGGGGGTATGGGTTTAAGGGATTTGAGAATGTGGAATGTGGCTTGTATTGCTCATCTCCTGTGGTTACTGTTTATGCAGGGGGGGAGTTTTTGGTTAGCATGGGTGAGCAAGTATAGGCTGAAAGGCCGATCTATTTGGGAACTACAGCCTACTATGTCTGGCTCATGGTTGTGGAAACAGTTGTTGAAAATGCGAGGTTGGTACCAGTACAGAATTAACTCCAATGTGCAGCATGAGGTTTTCTGGGAAGGGAAGCTTGTGAAAAAATTCTCGGTTTAGCAAGTCTGGGAGTCTATCAGAGTGCAGAAACCGATTGTTTCTTGGTGGAAGATCATTTGGGGTAAGTACACATTACCTCGCAATAGAGTTTTAATGTGGCTTATTATACTAAATCGTATTGTGACCCGGGATAAACTGAAGCAGTGGGGGAAGATTACTGATGCAACTTGTGTGCTTTGTGAAATTGAGGAGGAGAGCCGTTGTCATTTATTCTGTAAATGTGAGTACACTGGTTACTTGATGAATACAGTGTTTGGTTCTTTGCTGACCAGTTGGGGGACTAGTTGGGAGCAACTTTTGCATGATATGAGTCTGCTGGCTCGAAATAGTAGGGATGGCCCTGTGGTGAGTGCGATATGGTGTTGGATTTGTAGTTTGGTGTGGAAAGAGCACTGTAAACGCGTGTTTGGGGGGAGTCCAAGACTTTGGGAGGTAGTTCTTCTGCAAATGAGGGAAGAAATTTGGCTTCTGGCGCATGGAGACCTGAGATTTTGAGAGGCTTTGATGCGCAGTAGAGTGATAGGCAGTTTGAATCTTCAATTTTAAGTTTGTGTTGCTTTCTTTGTAAGATGTACATCTAAGTTTTTGTGCGACTTGATTTTTATCAAGTGGGCTTAATGAGATGAGATAATTACCAAAAAAATGAATAATAATATACTCTACTTATAATACGCTGAAGCCTAAAACTGAACCCCCATTTCAAATTTGCTGCCTCCGGAGCATTTCTCGGAGGGGTATTTTCAGACACGGGAAAAATACATCGGTTCATATTGAGTTGAACGGGCCTGGTGGTTTTTTTGTTCCGTCGGTAAGATCAGCGCTCGCTCCGTTCATTGATTTCACCGTCGAATACAGTCAGCGCGCTGTCTCTGGCCAGTGTCTTCACCGCCGAAATCCGTTCGCCTTATTTTGTGTGGTCAGTCGGAGCAGCGCTCTCCCCATTCTGTGTCTTCACCGGCGAAATCAGTAAGCGCGCTCTCTCCGTCCAGCTTCTTCGCCGTCGAAATTAGACACCATCCGAGCGCGAGCTGTCACCCCATGGTGTCGATTCGTTGAACTGCAGTTATGAAGGTAACCGGACTCTCTATACTTTGTCTTGACCCCCAAAATTAGGTAGAATTAAAGTTTTGGCTCCATGTAGGGTTAAGCTTAGTTAGGTAATCGAATTCTACGTTGTCCATCTTCACTGCCGAAATCAGTAAGAAATCTATTTTCGAATTCATGTATGTTTAAGATGAGTTATTCGTGATTGGGATTCAAGGTTCAGGATGGACCTTTTTTTCCTAGAAGGGGTTGTGCGAACAGGGTCTGAAAGCTTTGTTGTTATCAAAGCTTTGGTGGGGCATTCGTAGCAGCTTAACTCCTTCGTCTGGTAATTTGAGTTCTAACTACTGGCTTGATTTGCTCAGTATTCCAACAGAGTTTGGTTTTGTACTGCTATTTTTTTCTTCTGTTATTAGACCTTTAACTTCATAGCCTGTAGATTGGATTTGTGCTCCATACCCTACACACGGATAGCAGAACATAGCTTATCTGTTTTATTTGGTCGAAAACCAGAAGTGGATTCTTTTTGTTACTCACCTGTTTTGAGGTATAATCAATATAGTCGGTGCATAGTGTTTATGAAGTCATGTTCATGTGCAGGTTTTGATTTCTCAATCTTCGCATTGACGTCAGCTGCTACAAGGACGTTGATCATATATTCACTGTTGTCAATTAACATTATCAAAAATAGACACAACAATGATCTCCTTTCGAATTCATTGAAGATTTAATTTGATTATGGACATTCTGCCTATTAACAGAAGCCACCAAGTAAGCTTTCCCCCCATTGTGCCTCTATATTAATGTAGATATGCAGAACTGGCTATGATAAGTGTGTACAACATATTTGCTCTTTCTTGGTTCATTATTTTCGTTCCCCCAAGTTTTGATTATTCTAGATGAGTGGTTTTGGATAGGAAGCATTGAACCATAATCATCAATCAGACAGAAATCTATTTTCAATATCTCAGTTCGGTGAACCCGTTGGGGGAGCAGTCCCAGAATGAGGTCTGCTTGGGAAATCAGTTCCCTAGCTTCCAGTTTTGTGTAATCAATTGGCAAACCAGACTCAGTTTCCCGATTAGCGGCAGTTTCTTACAATTGGAGATGCGTATGACAGTGTTGATGCTTAATCCTTCATTCCTAATTGCCATTGTTGTCTTCTGTTGTGTGCTTTTTGTTTTCTTAGAGTAAGTGGTGTGGCGTGAGCTGACCATCCTTGATTGCGTGCTCCAAAC